CCGTTCGAACGTAGATCGCCGTTACTCTCCGGCGAAGAAATGCTGGAGTGTATTCGCCGATCGGCATGAACACAAAGGACTCCGATTGTAACTTGCATAAAATTTGTCCCTCCACGATTTCGATGTCTTTTATTATTAAGGCCAGTTCATCCATGTATCAGGCAGCGCACTTGGAAAGCTGTCATGAATTTTTCGGCTGCCTGTCTGTTTTACTCCCCTTAGTCATGTTTACGAACATGACCTCACCTCTTCCGCGCACGGCGGGCTCAGACATCCCCTGATCCGCCCTCATCCTTAGCGATGATGCAGTGTGCCGGTCCCACCTCGGCACGGGGCTGCCTAGATCCCACCCCGGCACGGGGCCGATTGGGTACCATCTTGACACGGGGCTGCCTGGGTTCCACCTCGGCACAGGGTCGCCTAGTTCCTACCTCGGCACGGGGCCGCCTATGTCCCATCTCGGCACGGGGCCGCTTGGTTCCCACCTCGGCACGGGGCCGCTTGGGTCCCACCTCGGCACAGCGCCGCCTAGGTCCCACCAAGGCACGGAGTTGCCTTCAGCAGTGGTTTGCCACCCAATGCCGCCGAAGTTCCCGCAGCATGACCACATCAGATCGCTCGCTTCCCTGCCCCCCCCCCCCCCCCCCCCCCGCCCGGTGACCTCAGGGGGCTGCGGGCGCCTGCAGTGCTCCAGTGTCACCCCTGCCCCTCCCCCACCGCCCCCGGCTGTTTTCGTGGGCTCGCGTTGCGGTGAGCTCAGCGAGCTGGGCTGGCGGTGTCCCGCAGCTCCCGTGTGGGTGGAGCCAACCTTGGCACACGGCGCTGGCATCCGTCCGTGTGGGTGCGAGAGCAGCTCGCTCGTGCTCAACGCCGGGTGAACGCATTGTAGCTTCAGCTGTTGCCACGCGGAAAATCAGTGTTTACCTAACCCAACGGCTTACAGTCGAGGAGTCGGATAACGCGCAGGCGTCCTAACCCAAAACATCTGGCGTGACTGCCCAGATAGTCCGTGACGCTAATTTGATGACGTTATTTGTCACGAAGTCCCAAAGCGCCAACTTAGATCACCCTGGTGCAGTTCGCAGCGGACTGCTGTATATGCGTTTCCTTTTAAGTAGCCATGAGGTAATATGCTTATAGTGGATGCTTAGACGAAGCAAGCATGTAACCAAGCATCACCCTAAGCCGTACCATGAGCCGATATGGGCCGTCACATATATCACAGCCAAATAGCGGCATGTAGGACGTACCAGCCGACAGATGAGTCATGTTAAAACCAATGTTTTTAATAAATATTTTGGTTTCACCGTGATGTTGCCTGACCTGATGGTGAGAGAAAGGGTACATCAATCCGTAGGGGATATCAAAGGTGTCTGTGCAATTACCACAAAACTAATGCTTCGGTGGTTATAAGCCTGTTCTCCTTCAACTGTATACGCCTGTCATACGCCTGTTAACTGTGGAGCGGCCGGAGGGCTGCGGTGGTCGGAGCTCCCCCTCGAGCCCAAGCCGTCAGCTGTTCCCTGCTGTGGGACGGCCGGAGAGCTGCGGCGGGCAGAGGTCCCCCCCGGGCCCAAGCCGCCCGCCGTTCCCTGCTGTGGGACGGCCGGAGAGCTGCGGCGGGCAGAGGTCCCCCTCGAGCCCAAGCCGCCCGCTCGTCTGGTGTCGTCGTCACCGGGCTGGCGGGCCGGAAGCGCCGGCGGACGTATCAGCGGCGAGCCAGGCGGCCGCGGCACGCCTGGCTCCTCGGCGCGGCACCAGCCGCGCTCCAGATGGGGCGACGCCAGGCGAGATACGACCCGGCAGAGTACACAGAGGAGCGGCGCCGCGTCAGCGCAGTGACGCGTCCCGCGGCGGGGGCGCGCGCGCTGCACCGCGACAGCGGGGGAGCCTGTTTGCGTTTGTGGAATGGAATGATGAGCTGGCAATGTTATGTCGGAAATTAAAGTTGTGAGCGCACTTTTTTAGCTGGGGCGCTGCTAATTTGGCAGAGAACCTATGCTGCGTTCCAATATCCCTGCGCAACAAGATCTCTGTTGCTCTGACAAAACAAAAATTGCACAAAGGAAAACTTATTAATTGGAAGAAGTATCTGAGCCGTACGAAACTCTTCTTTAAGCAGCTGCATGCACTGGTCTATCGGCATACCACCCTTGCAGTACGTCAGAAATATCCTCAACAATGGCGCGTTTCAGCGATTACCAACATTGCCATTCGAAAAGTACTTGGAAAAATTGCTGTCCGCGTACTGATAAGTCGACTTGATACTTATCGCAGGCGCATATCCAGTGCAGCTGAGTTCGAACCTACGGGTTCAGTTTCATTATCCCGACCTTATTCGAGTAGAGGTGTAATGCTAGTAGCGCGTCCCGTTCCGACCAGACGGCTCCATCCGAGCGGGGGCGATCAGCGTGGACATCCTGAAAACCATCGACAATTTTTGCAGCGACAGGCCTCTTGAGACCAGACCGATAAGACGGATCAAGCGGCCACGCGATGTCGTGCGGCGTGCCGCGGGCCGATGCGGCGATACCGGCGCACGCCTGGCGTCACCCAGCACACACGGGCGGACGCAGGGCACGCGCCTGGGACGGCCAGCCCCCCCCCCCCCCCCCCCCTCCTCGGAGCAGCAGCCGGCATCGCTCACGCTGTGCAGGGGAGCTTGCTCTCAGCGTCCCATCAGTCGTTTCCGAGAGTCAGCGGGAGATTGTTAGACGAGTGGATGGGTCCGAGTCCGAACTGGAGGCTGAGTCCGAAATGCGGGCACCCAGGTAACGCCGGTCAGTGACCGGAGCTTTTGAGCCTCGTTGTTCCAATAAACACGGCAGAAGCGTGTCAAGTAAAGCGCATTGCGCGTTGATGATCATGATGGTATTAACAGCGTGATGGAAATTAAAATCGCGACGTAAACCGCATAGCATTAAAACAGCACCGCACCCACAAAGACGCCGTCTGTCTTGCAAGACCAACAAATGTCTTTAAAAAATGCAAATTTTATCAACGCAAGTTGGGTCGGGCAATACAGCTCATCTCGCACCTCTTCACGCGCCGAGTAGGAGCCGCGGACCCGGTCTAGGCCCGCTAGCGTGTCCGCAGACCCGACGGAGGCCCGCTGGTGTGTCCGCAGACCCAACGGAGGCCCGCTGGTGTGTCCTGCAGACCAGGCGGAGGGCCGTTTGTGTGTCCGCTGGCCTGGCGGAGGGCCGCCCCCGTATCGCCGGCTGCGTGCCGGCGGCCCGTCTCTGTGCGGCGCACGAGAATAGCCCACGCTGTGCCGGAAGTGTCACAGACCGCCCCGCTAACGAGACTGGTGCACAAGGCACAGCGTCGCCGACGAGGGGTCACGGACGAGGGTTCGCGAACGAGGGTTCGCTGACGAGGGGTCACCGACGAGGGGTCACGAACGAGAGGTCGCTGACGAGGGGTCACGGACGAGAGGTCGCAGACGAGGTGACCCCGGCTGACCCCGGCTGACCCCGGCTGACCCAGCGCCAGGTGCGGCGCGGCTGGAAAGTGTGCGCTATATAAAACTGACGTACTTAAGACAGCTTGGCAACTGTGGCCACGCTTTGTCCTTTGTTGTTTAAGTCGCCACGCAGGCACTGGTTGACCACCGAGGACGCATGTGCTCGTTTTATGACACTAAGGGCTCAAGTATCTCATGCAGTCAAGGCGCCTCTCGGGCGTTTGTCGTAAAGTATCTCAGAACGTGAGGCGGTGACTGTGCTTCTCAGAAGCAGTTCCTGTACCAGGGATGTGCGTAACATAAACAGTGGTGCTGCACAGCGGTCTGCGCCGCCTCAACTTCCTTCCTGCTGTTAGTTTGTGCCGTGCAGCGTCCAGAAAGCCTGGTCCCCAGGCGTTGTTGGGAGGGTGGGAGGGGAGGGGGGGGGGAGGAGTTTCCTGGCCAGCTGGCGGCGTTGGAGCTGTTTTTGGGCCGTGCGTGTTGTTGTTGCTAACTGAAGCGCGGCCACAGAGCGCGCACGTGCGCCCCAGACGTGGCGGCCGGCGCGGCGACTTTTTGCTCCCGGTCTCGAGAGGACGGCAGCGGTGTCAGAGTCGTGTCTTTCAGAGTTGACAGCTGTCTGGTGTCAGAGCCGTGTCCTGTCGGGCCTGACAGATATCCGGTATCAGAGCTCTGTCCCGTGGGGGTTGACAGCCGCCCAGTGCCAAAGTCGTGACCTGTAGGTCTGGCAGCTGTCCGGTGTCAGAGCCGTGTCCTGCAGGGCTGGCAGCTGTCCGGTATCAGAGCCGTGTCCTGTAGGGCTGACAGCTGTCCAGTGTGAAAGTCGTCCTGTAGGGCTGACAGCTGTCCGGTGTCACGACCGTGTCTTATGGGGCTGACAGCTGTCCGGTGTCAGAACCGTGTCCTGTAGGGCTGGCAGCTGCTCGGTATCAGAGCCGTGTCCTGTTTGGGCTGACAGCTGTCCGGTGTCAGAGCCTTGTCCTGTGGGGCCTGACAACTGTCTGCTGTCAGAGCCGTGTGCTGTGTGACTGACAGCTGTCCGGTATCAGAGCCGTGTTCTCTGGGGGCTGACAGCTGCCCAGTGTCAGCCGTGTCCTTTGAGGCTGACAGTTGCCCGGTGTCAGCCGGCGACTTGAGAGCCGTCGCCTGTTCGGGACCCTGTTGTGCGTCGTGTACGGACCAACGGTCGAGCGGTCATTCGTGCTGTGTTTATTGATAATGACAGGCTAATTGAGGACATGAATTCGCACCGTCGCGTGTAAACGGAAGACTAATGTGCACATCTGTATGATAGGCTACTCATTCATAATTTATGATTGGTGTTGGAAGTATGCCCAATCATCTGCGTGTTCTTGCCTGAGTACCTGCCTATATTCCCGAAGCCCCTATGCCGACCCGGGACGATGGCGATCTCGCCTTCAGCTTCACGAGCTGCATTCTCAGCAGGATCCACACCAGCCGTCCCGGCTGAGCCTCTCAGCTGACCCAGCCGTCCCGGCTGAGCCCCCCAGGTGACCCAGCCGTCCCTCCGCAGGATGAAGCTGCGACTGTGCCTGCTTCTGCTGCTGGTGGTGCTGCTGGTCACCGACCTCGCGGAGGGCAAGAGGCGCAAGGTCAGTCAATAGCGCCGTACCATGTTCGGCGGGTCAGCCTACCTGCTAATACCGTTTCCCAGATGCATTACTCGGTGTGTACTTTGTTTCGGACCAACCATGGCGTGCCACGTGCGTCCTTCTAGCCGCCTAGGCATTTGTCGATGATGACCCACATTCTGGTTCTCGTTGCATGAGACTTTGACTGCTGGCTGAACATCACCCATAATTACCCTGTTGCGGTGTACTCAGGAAGGTCGCGCATGATGTACGCTATCGGGGCTAGCCCACTGCGTTTCACTCGGTCTTCACCCATGGGCTCAACGCCACCGGTGCTTCACGTGTGAAAAAAGCTGTTCCTACGCACTGGAGCATGGATGCAATTGTCAAAATTTAAGCTTAGCATGCTCTTCAAACTCCGCTAGATGAGAGCAGCGTAACTCAGCCCGATAGCAATTTCTGCTGACCGTTTTTCGTTTTTTTTCTCCTGTGACTTATGTGTTCTGCCGTTGTGTAGGGGAGGAGGCGCCTGAGGAAGAAGGCCACCACCACCACCACCACGACCACCACCACGGAGGCACCCGGTGAGCCGTAGTCACCGGAGGCGTTGTCCGCACCAGCCACACGCGCGTGCTTTGTATGTTTTGTGGATACGACACGTGCATACTTCGAAGTCACTTCCGGACCTGCGGTCGTCGGGGTTAGAATGTTTTATACTCGCCAGTTGAGTGGTCTTAGGGCCTCTGCCCCACCTATGCGCTGTCTTCCCATTATGCTGGAGGGATCCAAATTCGCATGCTTTGGTGGGATGGGAGTGAGCGCGCAAGTTGTTATTTGGCATATGTTGGCACATGGGCGCAAGCCAACAATTTGAGAACCAGAAATCGTTGGCGCCTTACGCCAACAATTTGGGGTTCTCAAGTTGTTGGCGCCGCCTATGTGCCGCCACGCGCGAATTGCGTGCAGCTCTCGCGATTCGGTAGTCCTAGGCTTGATGCACTCAACTTCACTTCACCTCACTTACACACATATGGATTCCTCTACTCATTAGTTTCATTAGTTTTACGGATGTATGTTTGCACATGCATCACCGGTCTTCTTTAGTATGTTTTATGCGCCCTCGGAATTTTTTATATTAGCATAGCTGTTGTACGATTCTAGAAGTCACTCAAGTTTTTCTTGTATTTGTTTGTTCCGTTTGTCTTTGTCTGGGGCTTGCATCTACCTATTGCACGTAATATTCTGCCTTATTTTATGCTTCTACGAGAGCGTCCTGTACAACACACGAGCCAGCACTATATTGACGGGCGGCGATGCCGCCGATCTCAGCCACGAGAGCTATCCTCCTTTGGAAGTGTTACACTCGAGCGGGCGACGTAGAACGTCTCTGGACCGCGATGTCTCTGATCTCAGCCACGAGAACTATCCTCCGTTGGAAGTGTTAATCTCGAGCGGGCGGCGCAGAACATCTCTGGACTGGCCCAGCTGGCACTATATTGACAGGCTGCGATGCCGCCGATCTCAGCCACGAGAACTATCCTCCGTTGGAAGTGTTAATCTCGAGCGGGCGGCGCAGAACGTCTCTGGACTGGCCCAGCTGGCTTAGTGCCGACCCGCTTCGCCTGACCTTCTCCCGTGCTCCGGGCAGTCGAGGACAGTGAGGAGGATGAGATGGATATCCTGATGGATGACGAGGCGGCCATGGAGGATGAAGAGGAGGAGGAGGAGGAGGGGGAGGAGGAGGTAGAGCGAGAAGAGGACTTGACGGGATCACGAGGCATTCTCCGTCGCAACCAGCTGGATCATGGTAATAATGGCTTTTTATGTCACGGAAAGCTTTCGACCATATTCAAACCTCTCCAATAGTAAGAGTTGCCGATTATTCTATTAGTCTTTCTTGTCCTAATACGTGACTCCTTGTCTCAATGCTCCAACACGCATGACCTTTTGTCTTGCTAATGGTGTGCAGCTTTAGAGTTCTGATAGTGACCCAAAAACGTAGAAGCATCTGTGACTCTGCCTGTGATTGCTACGGTTTTACATTTAAAGCATTTTCGCTCAGTAGCATCATCGCGCTTATGATCTCCTAGAATCCGATATTTACCACACCATGTCGAACAATTACGTCGGCAATACATGATCTCACAATTACATGCAACGTTGAGGAATATATTTATTGGGCTTAGCAGTAAACCCACATAGCGTTTATTCTGAAATTTGCGCTTGCACTTCCCGAACAAAAATGTGCAAAATATGTTCGTCGCAATTTCTTTAGCTGGTACGCCTGAACTAAGTCATCTTTTACTGACGGACGTTGTGCTTCTCGGTGGAAAAAGCTACTGTAACGAGCCACTTTATTGAAAGGTACCACTACCTCGCCACAGTGAATGTGCTGGAAGCGATGCGAGTGGTGGTCTCGAAGCCGGGATCTCTCGTATGTCTCGGAGCCCAGACCTCTTGGTATCTCGGAGCTCGGACCTCTCAGTGTCTGGGAGCCCAGATGTCTGAGACCTCTCGGACCATGGGGACGCCTCGGATCTGTCGGTGTCGAGCCGTGCAGTGACGGGACGGGCTGTTTTCAGACCCGTGCCTGAACAAGAAGTGCGGCGTGGGCCGGGAGTGCACGCTCACTGAGACGGCCGAGCCGGTCTGCACGTGCGTCAAGCGGTGCACGCACGAGAACGACGCTCGTCGCCAGGTGGGCAATCGCTCGGTGTGGTGACGAGAAGTGAGGCGGGATACCCTGCTCACTAAAACCGTGGACATGTTGGACAACCAACCCCACATGGCGGGAAGAAGACAACGTCTAGACTTTCAGCAGAGGACCTCGGTGCGAGCTCCACAACGCGCGAGTCATTTGGCCCGATCGGATGGAAAGGGTAGCTAGCCAACCCAAAACTAAAGCCGTGTTTGCTGTTCTGCCAATGGACACTGCTTTAAGAAAATGGCATCCGCTTATAGGAGCGGATCGACCCGGCGTGGTGTTTCAGTGTCGCAGTGGCTTATTGCAATTAAAATATTCCATTTGCCGTGCAGTCTGCTCGCAAAAGCTGGCGAACAGATTACATATTGACCTGGGCCCCGAACTCACCACTGCCGGCCATTTAAAACACCCCCTGTCCCGCGCCGTTCAGGTGATCTGAGTGATGTTCAAGCTGACCAACCGTGCCACTTGCTCTGTCCAGGTGTGCACCAACCGCAATGACACATGGAACAGCGACTGCAGCGTGTATAAGCAGCGCTGCGAGTGCGTGGACGGTCTGGACGGCTGCACAGACCCCAAGAACGAGCATCTGCATGTCGATTACTACGGCCAGTGTCGAGATGTCGGGGTGAGTACTGAGGCCAGTGTCGAGATGTCGGGGTGAGTATTGAGGCCAGTGTCGAGACCTCAGGGTGAGTACTGAGGCCAGCGTCGAGACCTCGGGGTGAGCACTGAGGCCAGTGTCGAGACCGCGGGGTGGGTATTGAGGCCAGTGTCTGGATCAAGTTTGAGATGAGTAAGACGGCATGACGGTGTTTGGCGGACGCTTGTCTTATGATTGCGCTTGGCGTACCATTTTCTACTCTGATGATAAGTTTTGTGGTTTCTGGCTGATGTGGTGGCTGACCTTCTCAGTGAAGCGTATTATTTATGTTTTATATATTTTATTTATTATATTTTTATCGATTTCGTGTCTGCCGATTGGCCGACTTCAACGCTGCGTGCCCAAAGTCCCTCCCCGTTCGTAGATGTGGCACTGCCTTCTGTGTTCACCACGGGAGTGTCTGGAGGAGGAGATATCTGATCTCTCACAGGGAGCGGGTCTGACTTGGTCTGCCGTGTTCGCCGCAGGAGTGTACAGAGGAGGAGTTGTCCGATCTCCCACAGGTAGCAGGTCTGACTCGGTCTGTCCTGTTCGCCGCAGGAGTGTACAGAGGAGGAGATGAACGACTTCCCGCGTCGGATGCGCGAATGGCTCTTCAACGTCATGAAGGACCTGGCGGAACGCCAGCAGCTGAGCCCTCTCTACAGGTCAGGCCAGGCGTCAGAGGCGGTCGGATGGCCACGTCCCCTCCCCTCTCCTTTCATGAATCATCATGAACTCTGTTTTCCGCCCATTCCTGCCGCGTATTGACTCCAGCCCTTCAGACCTGATGAATGAAACTGGCAAATCCGAGCCGACTCACCATTTGAGTTTGGCATTGGGCGTTTGGGTTTCAGTGAGATGATTGTGTAAAACGAGTATGCCACCTTTTTGTACTTCTCATTTATTGTCAGACTATACGTCTACGAGTAAGTCAGTAACACCAGCATTCTCGAAATCCTTCTGAATAGCTTAGAATTTAGGTATGGAGTAGCTGCTTCTGCGGGCAAAATCTCATCGGACTCCCTGCTCACTACTATGAAATTGATGCATTTTGTTTGCCCTACGTTTTCAATGTATGTGTTCTGTGATGCCTGCAACATATTAAATGCTACAAAAGCTTGAAACAATATCTTAAGGCCAAAACGACCTGAGAACATGAAGCAATTATTCCGCGAATTCGGCGAAACATTATATTATGGCTTTGATTTCTTCCCATGGTTTTTAACCCCACAGTGACTCGTTTTTAGGCGCACCGGCTTTGGGAATAGGAAAACGACATGACCCATAGTGACGCAGTGGTTCAAACTTTAACCAACGCACTTCTCAGTAACAGGCTCTTGTTACCCACTGGGCCAATCAAAAGCGTTCTTTTATTCACACTGGTAGAAGTGCCCTGGCGGTCGTCATGACGACGGTGATCGCGATAGCTGCAAGGAGGAGGTGTAGTGCTGTTACAATGTGCTGACAGCGCAAGTTGAACCCGAAAATAATAAAATTTATTTTCTTTCTATGCTTCGACCGTGCCGCAATGGCACCACCTATTGCTAATGTTAGATATAACTGGTTTGAAGTTTCACGGGAGTATCCTTTTGAAATATGATCCAAAGGTGGGCACTCCCTTCGAAGCTTGCTATTTTCCGGTCGAAAAACATATTGTTCTGGGCCTGCTATGGCCACGTCGCAATGTTAAAACGTACGCCATATCGCATTGCTCGACTGCCAGGTCGGGGCCTGTGAACTATGACTGAACAGCTATTGTTCCGAGATATTTCCGTTTTACGCCACCGGCCGTTAGCCGCGCGCCAACCCAAAACGGTGCACTTGTTCACTTCATGTGTTGGACGGCCCGAGTTGTGGGTGAAATGATAGCGGACGAGACGCAGAAGAACCATACGCGGACACTCTTCGCCGACGCGGCTGAAGCAACGCCTCTGGTTCATACTGACGCGAGTACGAGACTTCGGTAACGCTGACCTTGACATGACCTTGACTGCGCTGACAGTGAAATGGAGCAGGAGGCGGAGCAGGACGAGCAGAAGCGCTGGGTCAACTCGGCCATCTGGCGCTGGTGCGAGCTCGACAGCCACCCGGTCGACAGGTGAGGTCGCCTCTGGTCACCAGGCTGAAGGCGTCGTCTCCTCCGGCAGCTACGACAGCAGCCATACCCATCCCGCTACTGCCCCAGCGAGCGATCCAACTTAACTGGGTCGGATCAAGCGTTGTGTTATCGAGGTATATTTTACCGACATAATATCACGTGGGCCATGCAACCCTTTATGCGCTGCCGTTCATGTCAAAACTGTCATTGTCTGTCGCGGGCGCGAACTCTGCTGCACACAGACAGGGATTGCCTTTTCAAAACGGTCTTCGCGACGTATGTGATCGAAGTTTTAATTATAAAGGCAACGAGCTTGTTGTGTCCATTAACTGTAAACACCATCGCTCGTTTGGATTTTCGCGGCGTACGATGATACCGGCCTCCCTGCAGGTTAAGCTGTGCCCCTGTAACGTTCTGCCTTTGTGACGCTTGTTTCTTTTGGGTCCACGCTGCTCCTCTAAGTTTTTCATCCGTTCCTCAGAGCCTAGTGTTTGGCATGCGTATATTGGCGCCCTTTTCCACGTTCGGTGGCCGTGCTTAAACCAGGCCAGGCACAGTGTCAGGGTATGTATCCCATAGTCCCGGGTCTGTATCCCACAGTTCGGTGTGTGTATCCCACAGTTCGGTGTCTGTATCCCATAGTCCGGGGTCTGTACCCCACAGTTCGGTGTGTGTATCCCATAGTCCGGGGTCTGTATCCCACAGTCCGGGGTCTGTATCCCACAGTTCAGTGTCTGTATCCCACAGTTCGGTGTCTGTATCCCATAGCCCGAGGCCTGTATCCCACAGTTCGGTGTCTGTATCCCATAGTCGGGGGTTTGTACCCCACATTTCGGTGTCTGTATCCCATAGTTCAGGGTCTGTATCCCACCGTCCGGCGTCTGCATCCTACAGTTTGGTGTCTGTATCCCACAGTTCGGTGTCTGCGTTCCACAGCTCGGTGTCTGTATCCCATAGTCCGGGGTCTGTATCCTATAGCTCGGTGTCTGTACCCCACAGCTCGGTGTCTGTACCCCACAGCCCGGGGTCTGTACCCCACAATTCGGTGTTTGTATCCCATAGCCCGGGTCTGTATTCCACAGCTCGGTGTCTGTATCCCAGCCGGTGTCTGTATCCATAGTTCGGTGTCTGTATCCCATAGTCCGGGTCCGTACCCATAGTTCAGGGTCTGTATCCCACAGTCCGGTGTCCGCATCCTACAGCTTGGTGTCTGTACCCCACAGCTCGGTGTCTGTACCCCACAGCTCGGTCTCCATCCACAGTCCGGTTTATACCCTATAGCGGTGTCTGTACCCCACAGCTCGGTGTCTGTACCCCACAGCCCGGGGTCTGTACCCCACAATTCGGTGTTTGTATCCCATAGCCCGGGTCTGTATTCACAGCTCGGTGTCTGTATCCACAGTCCGGGGTCTGTACCCCACAGCTCGGTGTCTGTATCCCATAGTCTGGTCCGTATTCCACAGTTCGTTGTCTGTATCCCATAGTCCGGGTCTGTATCCCCACAATCGGTGTCTGTATCCCACAGCTCGGTGTCCCGTCACGAGCTGTTCCCCATCCGCGCCACACTGCTGGCTATGGAGCACTGCATCGCGCCCTTCCTGGACGGCTGCGACAGCAACGGCGACCACGACATCGGGCTCAACGAGTGGGCCAAATGCCTGAACGCCACCAACGTGAGTGTCCTCGCCCTTCGAGAACGCGAGAATGCCCCGTTCTCCGAGAGCGCCAGAAGGGAACAGTCCATTGCCCGGAGGGTGGTACAGTGCACTTTTGCACGGCATTGTTTGCTTGGGATGCTCTCGGCTTACGCCCATCAAATGTCTTTCCGAAACGGAGGTGTTAGTTTAGTGTATGATGACGCCGCGGCAAAAAGATGAAACACTTTTTACTCGCATATAACTCCCGGAAGGTACAGGAAGGCCGGTCACAAGTGCTAAAGTCCCTCCGTTGATAGACTTTCATAGAGCTTCTGGCTGGCAATGGGGGCCCCGTACCTGAACAAGGACATCAACGGGGGCCCCGTGCCTGAACATGAGCATCAACGGCAACCCCGTACCTGAACATGAACATCAACGGGGGCTCCGCACCTGAACATGGACATCAACGGGAGCCCCGTACCTGAACATGAACATCAACGCGGGTCCCAACCTGAACATGAACATCAACGGGGGCCCCGTACCTGAGCATGAACATCAACGGGGGTCCCAACCTGAGCATGAACATCAACGGGGCATCACGGGCTGTCCAGGCCATCCTGGTCAGCATGTGCCTATATTTGTTTTGTACCTGAGCACGAACATCAACGGGAGCTCCAACCTGAACATGAATACCAACGCATGATACTCGTACTCGTATGATATCCGGCGAGCGTCGTGTGTCCCAGTTCCCAACTCATCCGCCACCCTGGGCAACTGGTGGTGGAGTGCAAACTCGCTCCTAGTCCCTGCCGAGTGATTGATTGGATACATCCAGATAAGATAATTGTTATTGTTACCCAAAACTATGGTACGCCTCGTAAGCCGAAGGAGCAGGTCTCCGTGTCTTTCTGGTTTCAGATTTATACCACTATTATGATGGGCACTAAACTTGCTCTAAACTATGCAAAGTGTGTATGTTACTTAACACGTTTCGCGTGACTTCTGATGTCGTCTGTCTGTACCAAAGTCAACGACGACAAGCCCTGGGTGGAAATGGCCAGAACCACGGAAGACATTGAACTGCTCCAGCCTTAAGATTATAAAGTGGGATAGCGAAGAGCCTCAGAAGTAGTCTATCTTGGCGCTTAACAAAATTTCCCAGACAGTATTAATGGGTTACCACACTTCTCGAAGTCACTGTGACAGGTATCTTCACGTGCAGTTGCTCGGCAAGTAACGGTGAATGGTTGATAAGGAGCGGAGCAATTGTTCTTGCAGGACATGTATTAAACTTTAGTGTAAATCACAATTTGAACAGCACGTGCGGGATTTTACCACCATTGTTGAAACGTCGCATCCACGTGAAACCGCATTTATTATCTTGTTTTCCAACTGGGGCATTTGCTTTTTCGTTCTATCTTGTTTTTTCTAATGTACTGTTAAAATGGTTGTAATTTCGCTTAAATATTTTCCCCGCACCGTCGAAAATATCACGGGCTGTCCAAGCCATCCCGGTCGGCATGTGCCAAAATTCGTTTTGTTTAGTTTCATGTGTTTTACGTTTATGTTGCTTGTGGCGAAATAATTCAATTCGCGCAACAAACGATAAATTTTACATTAACAAAAGTAGTTACATTCCCACTATTTCATTATTTTTTCATTACCGTTTCAGGCTTCTAGCACGGCTTCAATGTTTGGGTTCTATTTTGTGTTACTTGCCTTCTGTTTCGTGTTGCACTGTTTTGTTCCGTATCTTAGATGAAAATATGGTAATAATAAATACAAAAGATATCAAGTAAGGCTGTTAAAAAATCAGTTAAAGAGTGTTCTTGGTTTCTCATCACCACAAAGCAAAATTAAGTGGTGGTGAAGTAACACAGGGAACTGAAGCATAGTGGAACACACCACAAAGGAGGTATTAACAGCCCATCTGTCGTTTTCCCTCCAGGGTGAGATCAAGGAGCGTTGCGAGAGAATCAAGCAGGATGGTCAGTAGACACCAACTGCCGGCGCCGATCCAGCCGGGGTCACGTGACCCTGACACGGGTCCAGGGCTGGCGGCAAACACAGGAACTATTGGTGCTAGTAAACGAGCTTACACTGTCGCGTGTCTTGGGACGCTTGTGATAAATTTGGCTTCTAAGATTATAGTTAGTGTTCTAACTGGTAAGTACAGCGCCCTGGGTATTAAGCACGCAAATACCCGCGAGCTTTACGCATCGCCTGTGTGCATTCGCTGAAGGGATTGGACTCACCAAAAATACTTACAAGTTACTTTGATTCACTCATTTTCAGTCCCGATAAGTCCCGAACAGCTGAAATGTTGACACTGATGTCATCTGTTTTCGACTGTAACGCTTTGGGCAGCACCCCCTGGCGATGAGTTCCTCTCATTTGGGCTCATGTTCAGACCGAGCGTTTGCAGGCTATGACAATGAGAGGAACCCTTGCTAAGGAAGATACAGCATGAACGAACAGAATATGACGCATCATTTGCCATGTTTAATCAACAATGATTTTTTGGTTGGCTCAGTCCCTTTAAATCGCAAGTGTCGTCCGTTATCTGCTGGTTATTATGCTGTCTGTCGGCTGTTCCGGGGGAAGTCATGGTACCATAGGCGTAAGCCACTTTCACTGCCAGATGATCGATCTTTGCCAATAAATGGCGAACCTGTCGCTCAGTGTTGACTGTGGAGAACGGCGACCAGCCTGCAGCATAATGTAACATTGGAAAAAAAAACATGATCTGTCAATCCAAACACGGCCTTTCGATGATACAAAAAAGCGCGGTTAGTTCTCGACCCGCACAACACTCACCCATCTGCAAGCCCCCAAAAAGCCCGAGAAGATTGGTACGAAACAATATATTCAAAACAAATGTGCTATCTACCATTGTAACAGATAACTCGCACATTTCTCGGTACTCCTGACCATACCTGACGCATACTCTCGGTACGCGTCGTCGTCATACAGTCGACAGCGCACGTAACGTGTCAAAAACCGCTTCAGAAGTTCCGTACTTTAATTTACAAACAACAGCCGACGCGTAGAGAACGGATTCCGGAATCGCCCATACACCGCGGTTCGAAACACGATTCCAACTCCGCATGCCACTCAGTTCCAACCGCGCTTCACTCTCGGGCAGAGAACAGCACCAGCTCGACCCGGACACCACCCCGGGCCGGGTGGTGACCCGCGCGCAGGATCCGGCCGTTCACCAGGTACACGGAATGCATTCAACTGTCTCCAACAGCGACAACGTTCGAACGGACGCGCTGCGTTCGGGAGCTCAACGCAGAAGTGAGTCAGGCGGGCCGCTTCACACAATGTCTTGGAATATCATCTGGCGACCTCAGCCCAATGGGGGAGGGGGGGGGGGGCGCGGCGCCCAGCCGCTCGATAACACGCTCGACTACACGTAACCAACGATGGGAACGTGCCGAAACTAGTCACCGGCGTGGAAGACGCACTGCAGGACGGAATCCGCACCTCCGATCAGATGAACGCCATCCTGGTGATCCTGCCCATCATTCTCAAACTTCCCTTACATGCCACACCCTCACACAGGTAAAAATGGTAATAAAACAGCGTCTTCACTATGCGCCTGCGAACCGGGCGCATCCTCGAAGTCAAGAGGCTCTATGCATATGCTAGTAATGCATACCTACACCCTGGACGGCAATAGCGAGACTCCTCGGCGCCTACGTCAGTCACGTGGTCGCACAACCGTTGCAAGACTCGGCAGTATCGAAAACAGCAACAAACCACTCCGGGAAAACACCTTTTTGTTCTAACTCATCTACCTACCATCTCCCGCCCCGCCTGTTTGTTTGATTTCTCACGTTTGGGACGCTTGGTTAGAGGTCGCATTAACCTAACTGCCTGACACCGACACGTGCGGAATAAGCCACGTGACGTTGGCGTTGCTGACGCCATGTTGGTACATCAGCTGAGGTTGAGTATCGCGCTGCTGTCCACCTCCGACGGGCCACGGCCTGCCCAGAAAGCTACAACGTCCGATCGACCGACCTCGTCCGTCTCCTTCACGTCATACAAGTGACTTTCAAGTCATCTCTTGTCGCTGACTGGTCACCCGACCTACGCAGACTTCTCTGATTGGTCGCTGTCGACCGCATACATCACCGATTGGGTGACTTTCTAAAACCGGCTCTTTCCATTGGCCATCAGCCCTTGCAGCACCCCCTCATTGGATTTTTTCTTAGCACTAATAACCTCAAATCGACGTGTCGACATCCGATTGGTCAGCTACTTCCCAAAGAAGTCAATGATTGGATGATAGCCGTAGTTGACGCGGTCCTCGGGCGGCTGGTTGCGCGGCGGCGCCGGCGGCGGCGGTGGCAGCACAGACGGCACCTGGTACGTCTCCGAACCGCTCGCGTCGACACGGTCCAATCTGCTGGCCGAGGTCGGGGTCACAGTCAAGCCGGCGCCCTCAGGCGAGCCGCCAGCGGCGGCGCCTGGTCACAGTCTTTACTAACTCTTGCCAGTGTACAGGTAAATGCCATATTATTTTGTATTTTTCAACAGTCTGAGACCCATGGTCACGTTAAAATAATACTAAGTATAATATTGCTACTTTATCAGAGAAGGCAGTAAGTTGTATAGATGGAACTCCCAGAGCTCCTCAGTCTCCGAACCAAACCGAACAAAATAATCTTCGGAAAAGTTGTCAGCAGCAGTCTAGCATCTGCTCAGGATCAGCACGCATAGGCATTTAGCCAAAAGCCCACCGGTAGTCACCCGTCCATGGTCAACCCCATATGTCTTTACGAAGTGAGGAACGGGCTCAGCATAGCCTCGTGAGAAAAATAAAATCTGTTCGGTGGTCAAGGTCCGAAGCAGGTGCCAGTTGCGCTAAAACAGGCATCCCCCCTCAGCAGATCGTCATATTACGACGCAACCAGACATCGCCACAATCATCGCAACCAGTATTCTTACCTTCGTCGTATTTCGTTGGAATCCGTCTGCAAAGAAAAAATAGAAGTGAGATTAAGCACTGTAAGCACGCCGTGACATTTCTAATAGGCATCAACTTGAGCCCTATGACCTTATTTGCGTTCTGTTCGTTTACACGATCTCTGAAAGAACGGAACAACAGCTGTGATCACCGGCCACCGTATAACCGATCACCGTGTAACCGATCACGCCTCATTTCGTGAGCAAGGTACAAGCAAAAAAGTATACATACGTACCAAAAAAGCACAAGCTATGTTTCAGTCAGCCCACGGTCAGCATGAAGCATAACGGTTCTGTGGTAAGCTACGGAATCAGAGCAGGCTCCAGACCTGGCTTCAAAGGCTCAACGCCACGCGCGATCCCCGCGTCAGAGCGTTACGCGAGATCGGAGATCGTGTCGCGAAATTAGAGAGAGTTCTGACCAGGATTCTGTCGCCGAAATTGAGTGAGTTCTGACCGGGATTCTGTCGCCGAAATTGCCGTAGAACTGGTCCTCCGGCGCGCCACCCAGGCCCGGGATCTGGATCGGTGAGTCCCGCACCACGTCTGCCGAGGGAGGTTCGGGTCACTGGCTGGGAGGCCGCCGTCGCATACATCCACCCATCGTTTAGACGCACAGATCACCCCCCACAGCCGCACAGGTCACCCTCCACAGCCGCATAGAGCACCCTCCACAGCCGAACAGGTCACCCTCCACAGCCGCATAGAGCACTCTCCAGTCTCACAGATCACCCTCCGCAACCGCACAGAGCACCTTCCACAGCCGCACACATCACCATCCACAACCGCACAGAGCACCTTCCACAGCCGCACACATCACCCTCCACAGCCGCACAGATGAACTTCGACAGCCGCGCAGAGCACTCTCCACAACCGCACAGAGCACCTTCCACAGCCACCCAGACCACCCTCCATTGCCGCACAGATCAATCTCGACAGCTGCACAGATCACCATCACCAGCAGGACAGATCGTTCACGTTCCGAGACTCAGTTTACACTCAGTTTCTGTTCATAGGGTCCTCAGATCTGCAGACCATTGCACGGGCAGGGCGCCCACACATAGAGCAGACTGGCAACATATGGCTGATTATACAAACGAGGGCAGATCATGCACATTCAAATAAACCACGTACTAAAGGGCATCCCATTGACGCATGCATGTTAGACGTTGATGTTTGGAGAGATAACTCGACCAACAGATCATCAACAGACCACCAGCAGATGGATTATTCGCATGCACATAACGGTCTAGGTGTAATGGTGGCTCGTGGAAGGATGTATCACCTTGGAATATATCACGAATGTGGGGTCCACACATAACGGTCATACTGTTTCATAGCGAAAATCGTCTTTACATGGGAGCTAATGACGCACAATCGAACAAACCATCTACGCACCAATAGGAACTTTTCAAGTACAATTTGTTTTTAATGCATTACATTTTCTAAGCGTGTGTCCTTGGGGGCATGTCTTTCCAGAATCCTCATGATGTAGAGCAGGCGGCAGATGAAGTAGTAACACTGTCTGTGTTTGCTATCAGTCATCTTTCTGCCCCCCCCCCCCCTCGTGCGCATCATCTGGACAACAGGAGTAAACGATGGGAGAAACGTTCAGCACAGCCTGCGATAGCTCAGGACAGGTTCCAGCAACGGTAAGGACAAGAGCGATCCTGTGTCTCAGTCATTACGTTAGAAAATCACGAACACCTACCACTCAGACTCATCTCTGCTCTGCCCCTGTCTCAAAATGGCGGGGAGACCAGCACACTGCTGGCCTAGCCTGGGTTTGGGCTAAGGTCGGTGCTGCGGGGCGTTACGACACTGCTAAACACTGACCTTGTTTGCGTCCGAGTCAGAGCAGGTACGGTGGGAAGGCCAGCACACCGCCAATACTGACCTTGTTCAGGTTTGGGTCCGGGCCGGTCCGGCGGCAGTTAGTAAACCGCTAACACTGACGTGGCTCAGGTTTGGGTCGGGGTCGGTACGGCGGGAAGGTCAGAACACCGCTAAATACCGACCTTGTTCAGGTTTGGGTCGGGGACGGTACGGCAGCAGTTAGTACACCGCCAACACTGACGTTGCTCAGGTTTGGGTCGGGGTCGGTACGGCGGGAAGGTCAGAACACCGCTAAATACCGACCTTGTTCAGGTTTGGGTCAGGGGCGGTAGACAGCAGTTAGTACACCGCTAACACTGACCTTGCTCAGGTTTGGGTCGGGGTCGGTACGGCGGGAAGGTCACCACTGGTCGGCGGCGCCGGGTCGGTCGCAGACGACTGATCCCCCTGTACCTGTGGAGTGTCGAGTTTCCTCAGTCATTACCCGCCACGCCGCTCGGGCAAAACGGTTCAAAGGCACGGCAGTAGGCATGACGTTCGCTATGATTTAATAGATAGGTAGTAGGTCGTGCGATTATGCTGTTACACTATATCACAGCATACCAGCCACCGCACTTGACGTACAAGGCAGATGATGCATTTTGCGATGAGTCCTGATGGCTAAGCCGTAAGGGAGTCGAATTCCGCTGAATATACACAGCTAGTGATGTGTTAATTTATGGCATTGGATGACGAACCAACTGCGTACACCACTAGCCACTCGTCTGCCCTGTGCACATCTCCACGATTGCAAATATGGGCGGTGAACTAGTTTGCCCTGTCTGGTGCGGAAACGGCGCGTTTTCATCGAGTTTCTAATTATATCGCACGAACGTGCACCGCATTTTTATGATTCTTTTCAAGGATCATTGCTATGCAGTTTTCCAAAATTAAGGGGCGGACTAATACAGGCTACACTTATAGGCTAACCTAATAGGCTAACAATTGGGTCAGAGGCTACATTAATAAAGGCTGAAATCGGCGGGAGAATAATACTATTTCTTTATTCAACCAGCTTATACTAACCGAATAGCCCAAATGTTCTTGTTGCGCACCAATATTAATGGCAACACCTAAGAACGCTTGGAGCACTAAGAGGCGAACATTTTGAAAGTGAGTCCCAGAAGATTACGAGTAAAAGACAATGAAAAGAAAGCAACGATGACCAAGAACACCTGGCTTTCGCTCGGTAAACATTTCCAAAAATTAACATCAAGTGGTGCTATCCTTAAATTTAGCCCAGCCGTGCTGGGCGGCTAAGACCTTCATCCGACCTTGACCGGCGAGGCATGAACAGCGGCGCCGCTGGTCGTCATGGCGACGCGGCCTCACCTCCTGGTGGTGGTGGGCGGCTCGGTGGTGGTGGTGGGGAGCGTCGTGGTGGTGGTGGTGGTGGTTGTGGTAGTGGTGGTGGTGGTGGTGGTCGGCGGGATCAGCGCCGGGCTGGGCTGGCGGGACGGCCGGTCCACCTCCTCGAATGGCCGGCGGGACCGGCCGCCGCTGCCTGCGGCGATACGGTCAGTCCACCAACCGCCGGCACGTCATGACGCTCTCGAACATGTCAACACACAGCATACTGTGCTGGGAAAGAGATGAGCCTGAAGGCTTTGGTCATGTCGCGTTAGTTCCTGACCGATGCCTTCCGTCTTGACAGTCCTGACCGGCCGTCTGAGACCGTTCATTCAAAAAGCGGTATGCACCGCAAATACTATTGCTGTCATTTCCACACTGCTATGTAGGCGTGCAGTTTTTGCAACTTGGTAGTTCAATTTCGCCAGCTTGGGGAAGACTCCACGGAACGGGAAGTGTGGCAGAGAGCTTTGAGAATACTGTTGAGAATACTGAGAGCTTTGAGAATACTGTTTTAGGGCTCGTTATATTGACTGTAAGGATAGGCTTGAGCGAGGGCATGTCAAGCAATCACCAGGACCAGCCATGGCCCACCGGCCAGCAAATGGCGTATATTGTGTCGGCATTGGAATGGGACGACTGAAACCTCCTGGAAGATCAAGGCCTCACGCAAGAGAGGAAGCGACACGACAGTGTAAACTGGCCTCTTAAACAGGAGGATATTTTACCCACAGTGGGCACTCAGTTGGGGCCTTAAAGAAAGTTCAAGATCCGATATAGTAAATGCCGTCAGATAAGATGATGATTATCTTTAACTTGATGGCCGCTGCTTCTATCTCCCCTTCTGGATGCCACCAATTGTTCCGCTGCTGATCAGTTAACGAGCCGCCGCATTACACGGGCAGCCGGAGGAAGACACATACCGTTGGTGGTGTCCACCCGCTCGTGGATGGTGGACTGGGCACGGCCACCGATGGCAGCGCCGCCCAGCGGCGGGTACACGTAAGCGTAGCCCTGGATGTGGCAGCTGCAGGCCACCGGCACCTGCGGCACGCGCAAGGTCACACCACTGCACAGAGAATGCACAAGCCCCGGCACCTGGGGCACACGTTCGGTCACATCACTGCGCGGAGGAGAACATACAGGCCCCGGCGCACGTGGCACGCGCTCGGTCGCACCACTGCGCGGAGGAGAACATACAAGCCCCGGCGCACGTGGCACGCGTTCGGTCGCACCACTGCGCGGAGGAGAAACATGGCACGCGCACGTGGCACGCGCTCGGTCACAACACTGCGCGGAGGTGACCTCGCTGCAGCAACGCTCGAAATAAGCTCGCAATGTCCTGCTTTCAGAAACAATTCATAACTCTGCCGGTGTGCAAGGCGCTGCTTCATCTAACATGCTAGCCGCCTAACCGCAGAGACGCTTGCTATCCCCTGGGGGGTAAGGTCTGTGTTTCACAGGACTGCACCAGAGCACTTATGAAGCCAGCCACATCGCACGGAAGTCGAACGCTGCACGCCGCCGCAAGCTCAACGCTGTAAGACGCAGCTGACCGAGGCGGTGATTCAGTCGGCCGGCCGCGTGTCCCGACGGCGCGGGTTCGGCCCCGGCCGCCCTCACCTTGAAGATGTCCATGTGCAGGCCGCGCTGTTCGTCCCAGCTGAGCAGGCGGTGGTAGTTGGAGACCTGCGAGCACTGCGACTTGTAGTGGTGCGACACGTAACTGCAGGAGCCGCCCGGACGCCTGAGGGCGGAACAGCGCACTAGTCAGACGGGTGAGACTACCAACGCCTCAGGGTGGAACAGCACACTCGTCAGACAGGTGGGACTATCGGCGCCTGAGGCGCACTCATCAGACAGGTGGGACTACCAGCGCCTGAGGGCGGAACAGCCCATTAGTCATACAGGTGGGGCCATCGACGCCTGAGGGCGGAACAGCGCACCAGTCAGACAGGTGCGACTACCAGCGCCTGAGGGCGGAACAGCGCACCAGTCAGACAGAGAGAGACTATCGACGCCTGTGGACGGAACAGCGCACTAGTCAGACAGGTGCGACTACCAGCGCCTGAGGACGGGACAGCGCACCAGTCAGACAGGTGCGACTACCAGCGCCTGAGGGCGGAACGCGCACCAGTCAGACAGGAGAGACTATCGACGCCTGAGGGCGGAACAGCGCACCAGTCAGACAGGTGCGACTACCAGCGCCTGAGGGCGGAACAGCGCACCAGTCAGACAGGTGCGACTACCAGCGCCTGAGGGCGGAACAGCGCACTAGTCAGACAGGAGAGACTATCGACGCCTGTGGACGAAACAGCGCACCAGTCAGACAGTTGGGACCATCGGTACCTGAGGGCGGAAAGCGCACCAGTCAGACAGGTGGGACCATCGACGCCTGAGGGCGGAACAGCGCACTAGTCAGACAGGTGCGACTACCAACGCCTGAGGGCGGAACAGCGCACTAGTCAGACAGGAGAGACTATCGACGCCTGTGGACGAAACAGCGCACCAGTCAGACAGGAGAGACTATCGACGCCTGTGGACGGAACAGCGCACCAGTCAGACAGGAGAGACTATCGACGCCTGTGGACGGAACAGCGCGTTAGTCAGACAGTTGGGACCATCGGTACCTGAGGGCGGAAAGCGCACCAGTCAGACGGATGGGGCTATGGATGCGAATGGGAAAACTATCTCTGAGTAAAGCGTCGATCCTCGCACAGTGATGAGACACATGCAGTACAGGAATCTTTTGCACGGAGTATGAGACGCATAGAAAATATACTGCATGTACAGGACACAGAAGGCGCACCAAGAACACATACCGAACAAAGTAAACCCAAACAGAATATGTTGCTTTCGTATCGCAGGACGCATTAAGTTCTACCTAACTGCATTATCTGACCCGCCTTGATATCACCAAGGTAAGCATCTATCAGTTGCATTACCATAGGTAAGAATGAATCGCAGCGCTCTAAAAGGCAACGAAAGTTCTTAATGTGATAAAAACCGATGCTGGTGCGCACGGCAATGCTCTGGTTTTGTTCATCACGGCGTGATAGCAGGGTGGGGCAATTTCATCACTCTCAACCGCGCAAACGCATTGTTATTGTCTTTTAAGTGGCGTGTTGAGCTGCTCAGCACAAACTAGTGTGACTAATATATGCTCTTTCTGGACAAACACATCCAACTTTGGGTCTTCCATTCCAATGGCTAACAAAATACCTCATGCGTTCAAGCTAAAAACAGCCCCTGTCCCATAGCTACAACTCCGATGTAAAGCGTGCCTACTGCGAGCCATGATCACAGCGCGGGTAACCGATACAACCCAGCAATGATCGGCGTCAGTCAGAGGGTGTGTCTCGCTTCCTGCTGCTCTCTCGCCAGCCGGCCTCTTGTCACTCACATGCACTTCTCCATGCGCAGTGTCTGTGTGTAGCGGTCCATGTTGACGATGAACTTCCACTCGCCCTTGCTGTTCTTGGCGCGCTTGGGTCGCGCGTACTTGACCTCGGAGGGGCACAGGTAGCCGCCGTCCTGAGCAAAGTCGCGATGCGAGTGGGATTCGATCCCGCGCCGCTCCGTCTGCGTCCGGCTGGGAGGGAGAGAACGCTGTCAGTCCGGCCAAGGGCTCGATAGAGAGAACGCAGATGACTTGCGCGTGTAAAGAGTCCCCACTGAGCGCGTGATCACCACTCAAGACGGTCGGCGGCTTCCTGCCGAAACCCCTTCTTGTTCTCTCACCTTTCACCTCTTACCTTTCACCTCTCACCTCTCATTTATCACCCCTCGCTGCCAGAGTAGTGTGTATAGTCGCACTGCTCCTCGCGGCGTTTTCCCCCTCTCACTGCCGAAGAAGTGCCTGTAGCTCTGGATCCCCCGCGGCGTTCTCACCTCTCACTGCCAAAGTAGTGTGTGTAGCTGTGGATCTCCCCGCGGCGTTCTCACCTCTCACTGCCAAAGTAGTGTGTGTAGCTGTGGATTTCCCCGCGGCGTTCTCACCTCCCACTGCCAAAGAAGTGTGTGTAGCTGTGGATCTCCCCGCGGCGTTCTCACCTCTCACTGCCAAAGAAGTGTGTGTAGCTGTGGATTTCCCCGCGGCGTTCTCACCTCTCACTGCCAAAGTAGTGTGTGTAGCTGTGGATTTCCCCCGCGGCGTTCTCACCCTCTCACTGCCAAGTAGTGTGTGTAGCTGTGGATTTCCCCCGCGGCGCTCTCACCTCTCACTGCCAAAGTAGTGTGTGTAGTCGTAGAGCTCCTCCTGCTGGCTACTGACGCCCTCCACCAGCACGTCGGCGCTCTGTTCGCGTACCTCGGCGAACATGGCGTCCACCAGCGGCCGCTCCACGTTCAGAGAGGCGCGGATCGCGTCCCTGCGGGCACCGACAGGTGGCGCTGCAGTCAACAGGCGGCGCCACCGTCGGCAGGGACGTGCGGTGGGGGTCGGCGGCGAGTGGAATCGAGCGACCGATCAGAGTTACCAGAGGTGAGAAGAGGGGTGGACAGATTGTTTCTTGGACCGAGCGGCGTTCGTAAGCTCAGCAACGACAGCCGTCCACCTTAAGATCCATTGGTATCCAGATCCGAGGTGGCTGAAGATCACGATACAAGTACACATCCAAGTTGACGTACGAGGCACATTTGAGCACATCGTTTGATCCATGGGTGGTCTAGGGCATTACGCCAAGAAAACAAATGGTCTCCAAATTGACGAACATTTCAAAGCGCCGCCAGTGCCAGGATGTTTCATCCCTGTTTAGCAGTCTCCAGCTGACTGCGGGAGCCGCTGTGACATCTCTGAGAGTTGTACCACCCAACATGGTGCCCCTCAATCCCCCACCTCCTGATAGTCGTACCACCCAACATGGTGTCCCTCGCCGTCCTGGGAATCATACCACCCGGCGTATTGCCCGACACCCTCTTTCCCACTCATTCCACCAGCCAAGTGAAATCACGACCCTTCACATCGATCGATAACCTCTCAAGATTTTCTAACTGATCAACCTTGCAAGGCTGCCCCAGCTGCTTGCGTCAGTCGCCGCTACACCGCCAGCGTGAACTCCGCGCCGCGCCCGGGATTTGAACCCGAGCCCTCAGCCTGGCACGCCTCGCGCCAGACCACTGACCGCGGGTAGATGCTGGAGTCGAGGCAGATGTCATCGGCGTAGAAGTCACACTCGCGCCGCACCACCACGCCCAGGTCGTTGTTGACCGGTCGGAATGGCGTGAAGCTGGAGCCGCCGAAGTCGATGTCCTGCGAGCAGGCAACGGTCAGTGGGTGGCGTAGCTGCCTAAATTTGTGAGCGGCCGTCGGGCGAGATGACGCATTTCAACTGGCTGCGGCAGGGGGTACCGTGGCTGTCTTGCTGCCACCTACTCGCCAGGTGCCTTGCCGAGGTGGGAATGATTCAAAACAGTTGTGTCGAAAGAAAATCGAAGACCACTTATTTTCAGGCATTTTTCTACTCCACAAACGCGATTGACCTTATGACAAATGACCGCGAATGTGAACAATGTGAACGAACAAACGACTGGTGCGAATGACCTGATGAATATGAAAAAGGTAATGACCAGACATTTTGCTTGGTACACAGCATGCGGATGCTAACACAAAATTGTCTGGGCTGTGGCAGTCACGCATGGCGTACGCTTGATGTTGGACTGCAAAGAGATGCTGGAACCCGACGCCTATGCCGCTTGAGATGCCTTCAGCTGCGCGCCCAGACATTCCTCCTTCATTTGAACATATTGGGGACGTATTACACGCTGAGTGTGACACGACCTCGGCTCCGACCCCAGTGAACTGCGTCAGGCTTAGTTGCCATTAGCGTCCCCCGTCACCCGCAGCAACCACAGCTCCGCCTCCCCACTCGTGACCTACGCTAGATCTGAGCTCCACCAGCACGACACTTCCCTCCCATGTGTCACCACCTCCCCTGCCCCTCCCACGGGTGACCCACGCTGGGCTGGAAGCGCGAGCCGTCGGGCGGGCCGAAGTCGATGGGGCGCCGCAGGCCGGGCGCCGGGCCGGGGCCGGGCGCCGGGCGGCTCGGCGGCTCGGCAGCGAACGGCGGCCGGCCGAACGGCGGCGGCCGGCGCGGCGTCTCGTCCGGCCGCCGTCGCTCGCTCTCCTGCTGGCGCTCCTCGCCGTGCGGATGACGGTGGCCTCCGTGGTCGCCTGCCGATAGACACGGCTCAGTGGGGCGAAAGCCGGGGGCAGCCACATGGAGGTGCACGGACACACATCGAGATCTTTGATCGAGATCCCTGATTGAGGATGTTGTTGAAGGTTCATCTCGAACCTTTTTGATTGGATTGATTTCCGGGATCAGCGCCCGTGCTAAGCAGCGATTGTTGCGTGAGCCCTGGTCCCACTACCCGATCGTAAATTTCCTGGTCAACGCAGATCATTACGTGTCGAAAGCCTAACATGTCACAATAATGAGCACTGTCATTCCTGCCCTTTAAGGCCATCCGATCTTTCGCATGGGCGCTGCCACCAGCCGCAGACCATACTAGTCAGGAACAACGAGTGAACGCCAAAAGCTACTAGAACTCACCCCGCAACGGGTGGGTTAACCCGGTGGCAGGCGTTTTAACCAGCTGAGCTCTCCGGAATGGTCATACTAGGGCAGGTTTGTTTACTTTTCATTTATTTCTTGCCTATCCAGGGCATTGCCATCGCACTCTGACACTCTTTGCTGGTTTTTTGACAGTATTGTGCATTCAAATGCTGGATGTACGTAAATATATCTACCAGAAGGCAATGTAAGCCGACCTTCCACCTGATTGGCAGTCGGCACTGACCTGGCGGATGTCGGTGGCTAACCGGCGGCCGACGACCTTCGGGTGGGCGACGTGGCTGGTCGTGATTGGGTGGTGGTCGGCGCCGCTGGTCTTGATTGGGTGGTGAGCGCCTGGGCGGCGGCTCCTGATTGGCGTTGGGACCGCGTCGCCGGCTGCCATGGCGACCGGGTCGCTTGTTGGCCGGTGCACCGACAGGGAAAGGAGGCGGGAAGACGGATGACTTGATGTCGGTGGCGTGGCTCGGTGGGGGCGGCAGCTGGATGACACCTTCGCCCGGTACGTTGAACAGGAACGGAGCAGGCGCTGGCTTAGAAGCTGCGGTTGATACCAGATTGACCGTCAGAGCATAACAATCATATATATATATATATATATATATATATATAAAACAAATATATATATATATATATATATATATAAACAGATAGTTCATTTGTCCGCTCTCCTGATCTAGAAGGGTTCTTATGCTTATTAAACCAACATGCACAGCAGGTAAGCGTAACAACTGCGAACATGGTCAATTCATACATTATTTACAGGATACATAATGGCATTTCCTGCACCGCAGGAGAAAATTGGACGCCGTTTTCAGTTGATCAATTATTCACTATCTACTAGTCAACATTGAGGCACCAGTTACTCTTTCGGAGGTGCGTTGTGCTTGGTACAAATCATTACACCCCGGCTTAGGGTGACCATTCTCTTCCGGCCGGTCTCGGCGGGCGCGGCGTACAGCGATTACGAGCCCCGCTGCTCGGCAATGGTATTCATAATGGCGACGGACATGACCTTACAAATCAACGGACATGTACCATGAACATGAACATGTAACATGAAAATGTGACGAAGGCCTGCCCCAAAAAGTCGCGCTGGCAGCTGGTAGAACTGCTCTCTGTTGTGTCACTTATATTGGCGTCGTAATCGTCTCAAATTTGGAGAACACTTAACGCAATTGAAAACAAAATTAGTGTCAAATAATGCAGGGAAATCTTAAATGGCCATGAACTGTCCAAAGTTCAACAGCATTTTTGTCTGGTAAAAATACCACGCTTCTCTTCCAAGCTATAAAACGCTTAAAGCAAACCAGTGTCAGAAGCGTGTTGCTGCATTCTTATTTGCAGAAAAATGGTTTATTGTTCTGTTCTCAACATCCAACCCGAATGACAAGTCGTAACCAATCGGCCGCCATCCGTCAATTTTCGTATCACGCCGCAGACCGAAGAGGAAATAGGAGCTGCGCTAACGAATCCAAGAGGGAGGGGGGGGGGGGGGGGGGGGGGGAGAGGGAACAATGAGTGATAGGCATTCTCAACAAGATGGTGACAGAGCAGACATTTCCCTTTCAAGCCGGATTTTTTTTTAAAAAAGGATGCTGCCTTTTTGCCATGGGTCTCGCCATGATGAGGTACTGAAGCTGCACATGACCGACCCACATGCTTTGTGGGAACTACAGGTGAGCCCCCGCCCGAAAAAAACGTTGTCCAGGTCAGAGATTTACGAGGTGGACATACGCAAATATAAATAGTTCATAAACAGGCGGTACTAAACTCAGTTTTCCCGGGGGTTTCTTAAACTGCATTTCGGTTGCGTGACATGTTCGCCGAGTATCTCGTTTTGGAGGTACAACATGGCATACAACATGACATTCAAGAACTGACTGGTTTCTTGCCCATCACGGGTGAGGGTGAATCCCTAACACCACGGTCAGGCCCCGAACACCACGGCCAGGCCCATTCCTGCAAAGCACAGCAGTCTGCTCGCCCTCGTTGCACCAATCCACGTTAGACTGCGCACAAGCTCTCCCGCAGCCTGACGCCGCCGCTACGCACCCAGCGCGGACTGGACGTCCAGACGATGCTCTGGCGGCGTGCGACCGAAGCCGGGCGGCGGCAGCTGAAACATAGGTCAGCTGTCAGCGCTCAGCGGCACGTGCTGCAGCGCGTCACGTTTGCCGCGTGCGTCTGAGATCGCGGAGAGGTCGTGGTCCACTGTTGGTGTGCTAGGTGGTTTGGATCATTACCCTCCTGTGTGTTAGGTTGTTTGGACCAAACGCCGGCTTCGCTAATCAATTCTAGTCAAGGTGAAATGAAAAGCATAGGTCAGAATAGTAACAACATAATTGGAGGCTGAAGACTCACAAAACGGAAGCTTATAGGTGGCATTAGCAACGCAATGTTTGCGAAGGAGGAGATAATTAGCATGAGGAGAACGGAAATCAACCAGTGGATAGACATGCCTACAGTCAACGAAATACGCCAGCTGTTGCCATCGGCTTCAAGACATTACAAAAAATGAAACTAGCGAATGGTGTCACTGTTCTGGCCCCTGCAGTGTGGACGCGCACTCATCTTGGGTGGCTCATTTTCCCTTTCTGCAATCGCACACATGATTATTTTTGATGCATGTGGTTGCTAAGGTACCTTGCATTGTCATCTTCCACATCGAGTTCATTGGAGAAAAGTGCTGGCGGCCCCAGGACTCGAACCCACTTCCCTTCGACCCCGGATGATCTGTGCCGCGGCCTCACTGGTGACCGATGACCGATGCTCACCTGGTGACCGATGACCTGGTCCTGCTGGCGGGGGCGGCCCCTGCGGGCCCCCGGCGGCGGCGGCCGGTCGGCGCGCTGATTGGGCCGCGGGTGTGACGGCGGGCGGGGCGGCGGGGGGCCGCGCACCCCCTGAGGCGGCGGGCCCCGCGGTGGCGACCGGCTCTGGGGACGAGCACGCGATGTTGCAGATGTGTCGAGCTACTCGGGGCACTGCGCCAGTGATGTCACATTGCTGCTGGGCATCGCGCGCCACTGAAGACATGGCTTGACACTGGTGACGGTGACAAGACATTTAAACAATTAATATACTCTAATCTGTTGTGCTATTTCTCTCTGCACTGCAGACAACTTTCGGGCCTGTTCGCCCTCGTTTTTATTTCAAATTGGCATAGGCAGCTGTTCTCAAACCGTTCCCATGCAACAGCACCAGCAGACGATGCAAAGAAGCTTGCGGGAGAGAACCAGAAACACATACAAATGATGCTGCTGGTGTTACCGTGTCGCTGCCCATCATGCGTACCACCGAAATAGGTTCACATTTTACACTCGCTGTCTCGCGGTAACCTGTATTTAGGGTTGACCTACTCCCAGCCCCACCTCCAGCCCTCCTCCACCTGCCTGTCCGGTCTCGGCTTGGCTGCATCTTTCTCGGCCTTCACCCGCTCGACCGTGCCGGCTGTCGGCCGGCCGAGCTGCACGGCCAGTCAGCCCTCGTGGCTCCCCCTCCCCATGCCGTCTGTCAGCCGGCCAGCCTGCGCGGTCAATCAGCCCCCCCCCTCCCCATGCCGTCTGTCAGTCGACCAAGCTGCACGGCCAGTCAGCCCTCGTGGCTCCCCCTCCCCATGCCGTCTGTCAGCCGGCCAGCCTGCGCGGTCAATCAGCCCCCCCCCTCCCTCTGCCGTCTGTCGGCCGGCCAGCCTGCTCGGTTAGTCAGCCCCCGCCTCCCCTGCCGTCTGTCGCCGGCCAGCCTGCTCTGTCAGTCAGTTCCCCCCCCCCCCTGCCGTCTGTCAGCCAGCCAGCCTGCTCGGCCGGTCAGCCCCCGCCTCCTCTGCCGTCTGTCGCCGGCCAGCCTGCTCGGTCAGTCAGCCCCCGCCTCCTCTGCCGTCTGTCGCCGGCCAGCCTGCTCGGCCAGTCAGCCCCCGTGGCTCCCCCTCTCCCGCCTTCTGTCAACCGGCCAGCCTGCTCGGCCAGTCAGCCCCCTTCTCCCCTGCCGGCTGACGGCCGGCCAGCCTGCTCGGCCGGTCAGCCCCCGCCTCCTCTGCCGTCTGTCGCCGGCCAGCCTGCTCGGTCAGTCAGCCCCCGCCTCCCTCTGCCTTCTGACGGCCGGCCAGCCTGCTCGGCCAGTCAGCCCCCGCCTCCCCTGCCGTCCGTCGGCTGGCCAGCCTGCTCGGTCAGTCAGTCCCCGTGGCTCCCCCTCCCCCGCCTTCTGTCAGCCGGCCAGCCTACACGGTCGTTCAGCCCCCGTGCCTCCCCGCGTCCAGCCTCTCTGCCGTTATCCCGTGACCGCCGCGTCTCGTCGCGACCGTTTCCGAGCCGTGCCGGCGTCATCAGCCACGGTTGGCCGGCGCCGCTCGCTGGCGGTCCCGACGCGGATCTGGCACACTGTGTCATCCCGTCTCGCACCTCACTGGGCTCACAGGATCCCCCCCCCCCCTCCCCCCGCCCTGCCCACCTCCCGATCCCTCTCCAATCAAATAGCTGCGAATACGAAGATGGAAGAAACCATCGCATATGCTGGCATACGAAAGTAATGGGAAGAAAGAGGATTTCTGAACTTTTTGCCATCCGGGTCAGATGAAGCGTGCATGCTTCACGCGGTATCGGTGTCGACAGATCAGTTGCCGTTGCGGTCAATGGCAGTGATTGCGGCTCAGTCACTGAATATTGCTGCCTCAGACATTCAGAGTGTCGTATGAAATAGCGATTCGTGTTCATAAAAAATACTTATCGTAGTGACGGTGTTGAAGATGAAACCGATGCTAGGTGGGTTCCTAATGGATACTCAAACCATTCAACCCGCTCTTTATCATGATAAATGAACAAAAGGACGCGTATCTGGCTTGGCACATGCATCCGCATACCGAACCGCGAAAACAGTACATCGATGCGTAGGTAAACAACTATTTCGCACCACAGCAAGATCGTATTTTCGGGAATAAGATCCTCTAATCTTACCAAGCATTGACGGGTATAACAGAGACCAAAAGTTTTTCCCTAATCGGGGCAGTTCAGTATTGCCTATGGCCATGAGGTGGCCAAACAATGCGAGGCCAATGGCCAACCGCTACCATAAGGGGTTCCCGGACTTTTGTGTAAGTTCATCGGTAAAGACAGCTCGGCGGAGCATGGCATGCTTTGGCGCTCATGCCTTCTGTTTAGACCTCGTTTCGTCCACTCCGGCTAGAAAAGCAATGCCATGTGACCTGCTTACATAGTCACCGTCTCCAGGCGCGCGAACCGAAAGCCCAAACGCTACTCGTAAGTGTTTTTACGACTACTCATTGTCGCTGACCGAGACGGGGCACTGCGACGGCACCAGGGGTCGGGGCCGGACCGGCCCGGAGCAACGCGACGGCACCAGGGGTCGGGGCGGGACCAGGCCGGAGCACCGCGATAGCACCAAGGGACCGAACCGGGACCGGGCTGGAGCACTGCGACGGCATCAGGGGTCGGGGCGGGACCGGGCCGGAGCACCGCGACGGCATCAGGGGAGGGGGCCGGACCGGGCCGGAGCACCGCGACGGCATCAGGGGTCGGGACGGGACCGGGCCGGAGCACCGCGACGGCACCAGGGGAGGGGGCCGGACCAGGCCGGAGCACCGCGACGTCATCAGGGGTCGGGGCGGGACCGGGCCGGAGCACCGCGACGGCACCAGGGGAGGGGGCCGGACCGGGCCGGAGCACCGCGACGGCATCGGGGGTCGCGGCGGGACCAGGCCGGAGCACCGCGACGGCACCAGGGGAGGGGGTCGGACCAGGCCGGAGCACCGCGATAGCACCAAGGGACCGGGCCGGGACCGGGCTGGAGCACCGCGACGGCACCAGGGGAGGGGGCCGGACCAGGCCGGAGCACCGCGACGTCATCAGGGGTCGGGGCGGGACCGGGCCGGAGGACCGCGACGGCACCAGGGGAGGGGGCCGGACCGGGCCGAGCACCGCGACGGCATCGGGGGTCGCGGCGGGACCAGGCCGGAGCACCGCGACGGCACCAGGGGAGGGGGCCGGACCGGGCCGGAGCACCGCGACGGCATCAGGGGTCGGGGCGGGACCAGGCCGGAGCACCGCGACGGCAGCAGGGGTCGGGACGGGACCGGGCCGGAGCACCGCGACGGCATCAGGGGGCGGGGCCGGACCGTAACCGTGTCGTACTCGCCTCCCGACACAGATCCCGATCCCACGGCTGAGTACGCGCCGTGACACAGAAAAGGCGCGCGCGGCGCACGTGGACGCCGTGAACGTCACCACCGTCACGCTTAACGTGGGCCGGACGCCACTCACGCGACGAACGGTGTTAATGGTTTGAGTCCTTCTTGACAGACCGGCCCCGTCAGAGCGGCTCTTCCCCACTGCTCGTGCGCCGACGGGGCGTTTAAATGGGCCAGGCCCATTGTTCACGGAAAACTATGGCGCGCTTACGCACAAAAACTTTGAGATCAGGAAGAGAAAGCGCGCAGATGGTTCAAGAACGAGTAAGTACATGCCATGTTTTTTTCGGTGCGAGAGTTACAGGCCTATTACGTCCGGGCTGATTAGCCCACTTACATTGCACCATATCTACTTTCTCGGTGTATAATGGCGCAATTGATCTGGCAGCTGCTTCTGTGCATCAGCTGATCAGATATTTTCATGTTGCATTTGCAACAGCCGCACTGCACCTGCCTCGGCACAGGCGTGCAGTGCAACGAAGAACAACCTCTGCTGACGTCATCACGGGCAGGGGGAGAGGGGCGAAAGCAGGCTGATTTTATCGCGTTGATATCTGTCTTGGAGGGAGAGGGGTGCATGGAGTGAGGTAATCTACTTTCCCCACGCGCTCACGGGTAACAGACTGCACATTCACTGCACTGCAGTGCACTGCATAGTCAGACTGCACATGATATTACTGCGAGCAGGTGTACGGCGAAGACATTCAAAGTGACTTTCAAAATGGCAATCGTTCTGAACCTGAGCTAGTGGACAGAAAGCAGGTCGCATAAAAAGGTGTTGCCTACAGATGCTAGGCTATGCCGTACCTCATTTAAAAACATTTCAACTTTTAGTGGCCTATGAAAGGGAAGCGTGACTTAATCTTACAATCATAAGCACAGA